CTTCGATTTCAGGCCCCAGGGCCATCAGAGGACGGCCTGGGTCGAAGAGCCAGTCCCAGGGAAGTGGCCATGGGCAAGGACAGGGGGGACTGGCTCTGGGGGGACCTCGAGCCCGAATCGGCGGTGCATCGCCGATAGATGAAACCGCACGTTACTCTGCAGGGTGGACTGCGAGCCCCCCCCCCCAATCGGCGATGAATGGGCGGTTGAGGATCGATGCATTCCATCCTGAGCAGATCCCCCTCTCACGCTGCCCCTCAGTCGCGTCAGCGGGCAAACGAAACACCCTCGTCATAGGCACGCCAGCAGGCGGGGCCCCTTGGTGAGCGCGCCCAAAGAGGGCCTCCGAACGGGGCGGGGCCGCTCAGAGGACATGCCAAGGGCCGTTCCGTCAACACACACACTACGGGGGTCAAGAGGGCCTCCGATCGAGGCGGGGCCGCTCAGAGGACATGCCAAGGGCCGCTCCGTCAACTCAAGCTACGGGGGTCAGGGTGGTCCTTCGTCCCTGGACACGTGCTTCGGGGGCGGACAGGACCCCCACCGAGCAGAGCACCCGGCATTGAAAGACGACCCGGGGGCCAGAGCCGGCGGCCGCGGGGCACGCAGAAGCTGCGGCCGCAGCGCCCCCATCGAGAGCCGAGACATCGACGGCGCGCCCGGGGGGGAAGCGAGAGGGGGCGGGCCCTCTGCGAAGGATCGAAGTCCCCCAGCCCTCTGAGAAGTTTTCTGCGCCTTCCCCGGAGACACAGAGAACTGCTCGGGAGGCGCGAGGGCTTCTCTGAGAAGTCCCGCCGCCCTCTGAGGAAGGCCTTCGCTCGCCGCCGACGAGAGAACGCACTTCGCCGATCGACCTGGCCAAGGTGGGGAGTCCGATCGACCTCCGAGCGTGCTTTCCTGCAGGAGGGCGCCGACGGTGCCGCGTGCTCGGCCATGGACCTCTTTGCTGCCCAGCGGCCGTCCGCGTCTTTCGGGCGCGGCCTAAACTGGCAATCGCTCGGACGTCCAGTCCCTGTGCAGTTTTCGTCTTCGCGCGCGTTTTTGTTGCGAGGTGATGCGAGACGCTCCCGAGCAAACCATCCCTCCGGCCGCGCACACACACACACACACACACACACACACACACACACACGCACGCACGCACGCACGCACGCACGCACGCACACACTCACATTTCCGTCGGCGGCTAGGCCGAGGGACTGACCTGGCGATGTGACACACACACACACAGACACAAACACTTTTTGCGTCGGCGGCTAGGCAGAGTGACTGCGCTGGCGATGTCGTGTTAGTGGGGCACACAAGACGCGCGTTAAGCCGCAGTGCACGGGGGAGGGAGGAGGAAGCCCGGCGCGGGCAGCAGGAGACGGGAGGCCGGGCCCGCTCAGAGCGGGGCCAGGCGGCGGCGGGGCCCGCGGCGGCGAAGCAGACGGCGGCGAAGCAGACGGCGCGGGGGGGGCGGACCGGGCGGCCGCGAGAAGCGGCGCCACGGGGGGGCAGTGCCCAGCACGAACTGGGAGCGAAGGCAGCGAGCAGCGGGGAGTCCAGGGTGCCGAGGTCACATGTGTCCTGCGAGGCGCCCGGGGACAGGGACAAGGGACGCGGCCACCCCCAGGGCCGGCGGAGGGATGGCGACGGGCAGCGGGGCCCACCAGCCAGGGAGCGGCGGGAGCCGCCCGGAGGTGAAAGGCCGCCGGCGGCCACTGAGGCGGCACGAGACCGCCCGGCCAGGACGGCAGGGGACGGGCAAGGGCGGCAGGGGGGGAAAGCATGCCAGGCGCCGAAGTCAAGCGTAACCTACGAGGCAGCATTGGTCAGGACACACACACACACATACACACACACACACACATATATATATATACAAGTGGCACGTGTGTGCCCAGGCTCATACAACAAGCTGAAGGGGCGTTTGAAGCAGGAGTGACATGCAACAGCGAAGTCGCACTCGAGCGCAAATGAGGTTGCCACACCTTGCGATGTGTGTACCAGGGCCCCCCAGGAAGCCTCAGGAGGCCCGACTTGGATACCAGAAGAGGCTCCAGGAGGCCCCAGGATTGTGAGTGTTGTGTATGTGTGTGTGTGCGTGTGTGATGTGTGCTTTGTGTGGTGCGTGCTTTTTGTGTGTTGTCGGTGGTGTGTGTGTGTATGTATGTTATGTTTGTCTAGCGTGTGATGTGTTGGGCGTGATTTGTGTCTCTGTGTGTGCATGTAGTTCTGAAGCCCCAGGAGGCCCCAGGAGGCCCCAGGCGGCCTCAGCAGGCCCAGGAGAACTCCAGGAGGCTCCGAGGCGGGGTCTGGGGTACCAGAAGGTCCAGAAAGCCCCAGGAGGCCCCAGGAGGTTCCAGGAGGCCCCCAGGAGGCTCCGAGGAGGGGTCTGGGGCTCGATTTTGGGAGGATGTCTCAGGCGAAACCGCAATTCTCTGAGAATCGGGGTCAAAATTATTGAAATTACAATGTGTTTTTGAAGGTTTTATGTTAAAATGTTGAAATTCCTATGTGTTTTTGGACCTCTCCTTCACGATCTGCGTGAGGGGTGCCACCGATTTTCAGAATTTCGAGGATGTCCCGAGCGAAACGGCCGGGAAAATCGAAGACGCACGCAGGCACGGACGCACGGACGCATTAATCCCCTCTGAGCTCTACTCCCTCGGAGAGGTGCGTATGAGAATATATATATATATATATATATATATATATATATATACATACATACACACACAGACGTCTTGGGGCGAGGCGAGGGGGGCGTCACAGGAGTGGACAGTCTGCTGGGGGTCGGTTTAGGCCGCCCTCGAGTCTTCTGCGGCCTGCGGCCTCTGGCGGTCTTCGCGGCGGCCTGCCCCTCGGCGGCAACCCCAGACGCGCCTCCCGCGGTCCTCTCGGCGGTCTTCGGGCGGCTGCGTCTCCAAAAAGAGGGCCCTGGTCGAGGACCTGATACGGCCAGACCCAGGACAGAAGAACAGAGACGAGGACTCGAGGCTCGAGGCTCGAGGAGGCAAGGATACGGGCTCGAGGCTCGAGGTTCGAGGAGACAAGGACTCGAGGCTTGGGGATCGAAGGATCTCGTTCGATCTTCGAGCCGGGGTCGAGGATCGGAGTCTCTGAGCGCGTGTGCTTGGCCCTCTCGGGGGGCATCGGGAGACCTCTGGGGACGCAGGCCTCCGAGATCGTGTGTTTTTTCGTGGCGGCTGCTCGACCGGACCTGGGACAGAAGAACATCCTTTTCAAGAACATGAGACCCTCCGCCGGCCAAACTGAAGAGCAGTCGAGGTGACCCTCCCCCAGGATGCACAAGAGCATCCAGTAAGCACCAAGAACATCAGGGTGCCCTCCCCGAACCGACCTCGATCTTATGCCTTAGTCCGACAGTAATACAACCAGACGACCCGACAACAAATCTGGCATGGATGCTTAAGAAATGGTGCTTCTCGTCTGGGTCGCTGGCCGTGGCCTAGCGGCCTCGACGGCGGCGACGACGACGAACCAGAAGCGTCTTTTTCATCGCCCACTGCCCAAGTGGGGAGCTGCGACCCCCCCGGGCAGTTCTCGATCGCCTGGTCGCAGGGCCCCGCCCACGACGATCCTGGCCAGGGATGCGGATCGACTGCACGCCTCGAGCCCTCCCGCGTGCTCTTCGGCCACAGCGAGGGGAGGGGGGCGGAGGACGACGAGGACAAGGGAAGGGAACAGCTCCCGAATCGCCCCCACGCGTCACGGCCTCGCGCCGCCCCTTGGGCGCACCAGTGCGCTGCCGCGTGGCCGGCGCCCCCTCCTGACCCGCTCTGCATGGGGGCATCGAACCGTGGCTCCCTGCGGGACGCAGGAGGGCGCGCCAGCTCTGTGCGCGCCACCCTTGGAGGCGCACGTCCGAGACGAGCGTGTGACACAGAGGTATTGACAGTACTGTTGGGCTGCCCAGACGGTGCGGCCAGTGAGCGCCCACGACTGCGCGTGCAGGGTAAGATCTCTGCGAGCGCGCGCGTCGCCCCGAAGGGCCGATGCACACACACACACACACACACACAGCGCACGCATTCTGGAGGATGCCGGGGGCCCTGAGCAGCAGTGTGGTCGGGCCCAGCGCACCGGGGCCGACTCTGTGCGCCTGTGCCCGATGGCTCCTGGCCCCTGGATATGCTCTCTTTCCTTTCGGCACGGAGCAACGGAGACAGCAGCAAGACTCGGGAAGGGCCTCCCCCGCACCCCAGCCCCACCCCCCCCCTTACCCACCCCCTCGGGAGGTCAGGACGTCGAAGGAGGGGGAGGGGCAGCTGAGAGGGCGGATGGGGAATCGGCCGCATGCACGTGGCTTCCTCCTTCCCCGCAGCGCCCGCCCAGCGGTGCCGGGACCGGCCGTGCGCAACGAGGGAGGGGTGCCCCGCGGTGGGCCAAGACCAGCTGCATGAGAAGCAGGTCGCGCGACCCCCTCCGAAATCCCACCCCCCCGATGCGAGGCGTGGATTTATCTGTGTCCACCGCCTGGGAATCGACGTCCTGGTGCCCCAGCGGGCGGCGGAGATGGATATATTCTGGCCCCCTGGGGGCCCAAAAATATATATCCCATGTCCACTGCCTGTGGAGGTCCGCGAAGATCGATCCCCCAGGCGGTGGTTATGGATAAATCCCCACCCCTGTCGTCAACCCTGACACCCCACAGCTCCACCCCAAACAGTCTATAGAATACCCTTCTCCAAGATCGGGGGCGCCCGTCGCGGCGCGGCCGGAAAGCGCACGGCTCCAGCTCACACCTTCAGGATACAAACTTTCCAACCGCCCTGGGGACGTCCCCGATGGCGGGGAAAAAAAGGCGGTATACTGGCGGAGGAAAAACGTACGAAAATCACGACCGGAGCCCTGGACCCCATTTCTGCCCCATGCTTCAGACCGGATCGATATGTGAGGGCCCCGGGGCCCAACACCAGGCGAACACGTCCGGCTCGAGAAACTCGAGACGCCAGGATCTCAAGGGTTGGTTCGCTAGCTTTCGTCGATCCGAT